CTCCATTGCATTGATTTCCAGGCTTATTCCATTATTTCTAGCCAGATGTGTGAATAAATCATCACTGATGAAGTCTCTTTAAGGATCGCAAATCGTTTTTCAATGAATCTTTTCACCTTCATAATGCAATGTGTATTATGTGTGTGGTTGTTGATATGATGTTTATCAAATTAAATTCATGTTTCAGACCCTAGATTTCTGCATTTGAAGAGCAGCTAACGGACAATTCAAATACAGATACCATTTGCAATTTTGTTCCAAAATGCAGTTTTCTTTAATCTCGCAAGACTGATAAGCGTTAGTCAGAGTTGTAGAGGTAAAAGTTCTAAATTGAAAAATTAAGTGTTAAGGTCAATGATTGATAGTTTTGTTAAATTCATTTCAAATATTTATACTAATTAACATTGAGTTATGTGTAGTTGCGAAACTAACCAGTGGCGCCATTGCAATACTTTTAAGTTGGTATTGGTATTCATTTGCAAAGATATTGATATTGTTTCAGGTTCAGTTTACCAACATTACCAATACCTATTAAACTAACCGTCTTATTTTCTTATCATAATCAATATGTCATATTGTAAACAAAAAGAAGATATTACTTGCAGGTATCATCATTCAAACAATTTTATGTGATGAGACAGTATCTGTTAATCAGCAAATATATCTGTTACAACTTATAGTGTTGATTGTTTTTCTTGCTTTCTTCTGAATTAAAATAAATATATAATATATAAAGGTATACAGCATTCTAATTCTTATTTATTTGGATACCATCGATGAGAAAAAAACAATATATATATATATACAACTGTAAAGGAGAAATTGTGGGAAAATCCTTCACAAGCATTTTAAGCAACATTACATTTGGCATATGTGAAAAAGGTTATTTCTAGTTTGGAAAGATGGTATGATTTCGATGATGCCGAGAGCCGACTGTTGAGGAGATCTTGGAAAACAATGAAAACAGAAAAGCAGGAAATTGCTTGCAACATTTACAGGATGATTTTTGACCAGGTATCTCCATATATTCATACATTTCAATTGTTATAAGTAGCTTCCATCATCTCGAGATGGGTTTTGAGAGAAGTTCAGGATTTAATTGCTTCATTATCTTAGAGAAAAGACGATATTGATAAACCAATAAATACAATGATGAGAATGCAAAACAGTTTAAAATTTTTTATAATTGTTGTCAACATCATTTCTTAATCTTCATAGTATCTTGGTTATTTTCAGCAGTTGGATACCATCGGTGAAAAAAATATAGTTTGAGATGATTGTTTTACCTGTATTACGTTGCTGTGTGCATTCGGATACATCACATATATTTTTGCTTTCTATTTAAAAAGACGGGTAGTGTGAGGATGAGCTAATGATAAAAAAGCAGAATTATTAAAGATCAAAAAAAAAAAAACACAAAATGCCATTTCAACTTCACTTATTCATCCTTGAGTGGAGGGAAGAAGAATAATGATTCTGTGTGCAATTAATCACTGTTTGCAATTAATCACATTATAAAATGTTTTAGTGTCCCGAAGCCCGGCAGTTATTTTCTTTCATGAATTTGGATTTGAACAACTGTAAAAAGAAGAATAACGATTTTGTTTTTCAAGCTCTTCGCTTCATCCAGGTAAGTGACTCAACTTTAATGAAATAGTTCTTTCCAACTTTCTTAAAATAATATATCAATGGTATTAGTGATGCCGAAAAATCTCTAATCCAATGGATTGAGATAAGTGTTTGTGAACAAATTACTTCCAGAAATCCTACGAAAAACACAATTTTATGACATTATATTACTGGAAAGAATTATTAGAGAAAGCGAGACAGTTTCAACCATCTGCTGCGCCATTACAGGTTCTGGAAAGCGGTATAAATAGCCTAGATGATCTGAAAGCATTTGATCCAATTTTGGATAATTTAGGACGAAGACATGGTAAGCTTGAATCGAGCAGTGGCTTCCGGTTGTACTATTGGTAAGAATTTTTTTGTTTTTAGCAATAAAATTATTGAATTAGAAATATTATCATAGCTGTATAAGACGTATGATGAACGTATGAGTATTTCTGGAATGTTCAATGATTCTAAATGGAATAGTTACTCAAAAAATTAAATCACTAAGTTCTTATTTTGCTGAAAATTACATTTCTTTATTTTAAAATAAAGCATATGTTAAAAAGGTCAGTATTTCTGGAATGTTCAATACATCACATACGATTAGCACTGCTTAGTTCAAAAGCGGATCGTTGGAATAATACAGATGTAGACAATGTGGTCATTTTATGGAGGCATCTGATTTCAGGGATTTGTGAAAGAATTAAGGTTTGACACATTTCAAATTAATACATGTAAGGAAGATACTAAGAAATTAGGCATAAAATATTTCAGGTTTCGTGTCCTGAAATTTTTTGCTTCTTTTTAATGCAGCAACAAAGATTATGGAATTTTGGATTGGGTTTTAAATTAATAGGAGGAAATTTGATATCATAACAACTTAAAATTATAATTTTATATGTATAATATACTGGGATCAACATTCATAGTTTGTTGAATTTATAGATAAAAGAGTACTAATCGATTATCAGGTATAGTATTTTTCAGCATAGAAATAAAGAGGTGTGATTTTCAGCGAGGATATCTAACAAATATAGCAGATCGATCAATGTTAGATGTTCAAGCAGAAGTAGCATCCAGAGTGAAATTATCTGTGATACCCCCGATTCCACAACCATCAGCCAAAAACCCAGGTCAGCAGTACATAATTAAGATTATATTAATAAAACGAGCTTTGTTATGAAAATTACCTTCCAGGAACAAATGAATCAGTTGTCCTGAATAATTTTGAAATTGTTTGCCATCATGTGTTACCGCTACGTATTTTAATTTAAATGAGCATAGGTGGTAAAGGAACAGTCGGTGTTACTGGTACAATACTTTCAGCGAATTCTGCACGAATGCCTGTACACTACCAGTTCATCAGATGGTTGTTTTCACGTATTCGTCGAGGTGATTGATTCATTCTCCCACTTCAAATTTTCCTTTTAGCCACTAAGGTTAATATTATGTGATCCATCCGGCATTGTTATGAAACATCTTGACTGTCTGACAAAAAAATAAATTCAATGAGTACCCTGTCCGATACATGTTGATTACTTTTACATAAATATATACATTCCAATTGCATAAAAAAAAAAAAAAAAAAACTAAGAAACAAGTTAGAACTAACTGATGAAAACCGAAATACAAAATGAAGGCGTTTATTAATTAATGACTTTGAACTTTGAAACTTCCATCTTGATATTCACTTCGCCACTACGCACCATTCAATTTCAAAAACACCAACTGTTTCCACTTATCCAAAATTCTGAATATTTTTCCAATATCAATTATTTCTCCAATTTTTTGCACTGTATTGTTACAGCAAGCGACTTTATTGAAGTGTATGACGTGATTATTATAAATTTCAGATGTCATTTATGGAGTGTTCTATTGAATGTTCTCATCCATTAATAAATTATAGAAACTTTGCACTGAGCTGAAAAATTCCTTCTTCCTATCATTGGAATACCGAAATATGTTAATAACTAATTCATCTGCGCATTCAGAATTATCAGTAACTAATTAAAATTTGTTGATCATAATATTTGAGAAGCAATTTGTATTTAACTTGATTAAGAATGCCATTCATCTATTCCATTTAAGGTTTCCATAACCATTAAATTGAAAAAATGTCTAACGGGTGAATAAAATCAGCTTTGTTTAAATCATTCGACTCTGCTTTTTTTGAAACTTTCCTGAGAAAGAGTTTCTCTGATATTCTATGAAAAATATTCTTTCTCCCAGATATTCTATGAAAAAATGGAAGTCTCAGGAAAAGAGATATGTAGCTGAACAATAATATAACTGTCGTGGTTCACTGTAGAAGTGATTTTTTTTAAAAAAATTAGCGAGCTGTTTAACTATCTTGAGCTAGACACATTAGGTATTTATGTTGTGTGTTTAATTAACAGTCCAAAAGAACCTAAACCACATTTCAATTCATCACTTAATAGCGCTGACGTTTATTATTCTTATTTTTTCAAAGCAGTAGTTACAAATCAGGAAATTTTATTTCACCATTAACATGAATATAATGGAATAGCAAAATAGATTTACCTGTCATAAATAATAAAAAAAAATCATTAGTAGGGTTGAATTTCAAGTTGAAAAGCATTTGAAATTTTGAACTTTGAAGACATCAGAGTGTAATTTACTTGCAAGTGATTCTTAATGAATAAATTTCTGCTTATGTTTAATGAGATAAAAATTTTGATGCTGTCTTGCTGAAGGTAGCAGATGATCAAAATTGTCTCAGTTTGCCTTATCCTTTGAGAGCTGATAGGAAGTTAATTCCCAAAGGTAAGGAAAGTCAATAGCATTGTTGGGGAGGATTGGATTCGACAGGAAATCAAAAATCTTCACATCAAAAAAGAATTTTTCTATTCGTGCATTATTCTCATATGGTGGAAGAAGTTGTCTGCAGGAGTGCTTCAAAAATCTGATTCTTTGTTGAAGATGACATCGGATAGCACTCTTTTTCAAATGTTGACGCACTCTTTTTCAAATGTTGACCAGAAAGAAACCACTTGAGTCACAACACAGTATTTTACTCCAATTGTGTAAACAGACCAACAACACCACTTCACTACTTTCATCTTATCCATCGCTGTACTTATGTCGATAAGTATTATATATTGCACCTAAGCCCAGAACAAACTGAAAACGTGGAGGAACCCAGTTCTGTTACAACTTATGCTTGTTTATTACGACAAAATATTTTTTCTGAAGCATCTTTCCATTCCATAAGTTTACATTTGTATTACGATTCAATATTTTTTTGCTCAGGAGCAGAAACAGCTTTGTTAAACTGATGTTTAGTCAGACTTTCCATCGTATACAATGTTTGCATTAAATCTGGAATTTGTTCATTGCTAGAATCTCATTTCTACACAACCTTGTCTTCATTTGATATTCAACTTCAGCGCACACAGCAGATATTGGTGACAAGTTGTTGGAATCAAAATTTGAGTAACTGATATTGCTGCCTCAGAATAGAACCCTGAGGGAAACTCAAAGCCGACACCTGGAATGAAGGATACACCGCTAGCTCCCACCACCTCCGAAATGCCATTCTTCATCAAAAGAAAAATACTGACAAGAGGGCGGGAAAAGTGACCAACACCACCCATCCCAATAATTATAATAAAAGTAAAGGCGGTGTTGTAGGAAAGGATCGAGCCGCCCATTTCTGTTCCTGTCACTGCGGCAATATCGCTTCCCTACCGCTCCTTTTGCTAAATCTGCTATATTCACATTATTTGTGTATGTATCTGTGTATGTATGTGCACTAGTCTTTTCACCAAATGAAGGTAGTACAATCCGGCAGGAGTATAAAAGAGGAAAGGGAGCGGGGAGTGTTAAAGGGAAAAAGAAAGATTCTAGTACTTTGATTCAGATAAAGATTCATTCTGCTGATCTCGGGGTTTAAGAAGTATTCAGTGAGACGACTCATTCAAGAAAACTATTTTTAAACAGTTCCCGAATCATTTTGACAGAACGAAGCATATATTGCTTATCACTGACTCTTTGACAACGTTACCTTTCTTAGTTGCGCAATATGTCCTCTGTGACATATTCCTATAACTATTTATTTATGATAAACGCTCGAAGTTTCCGGAATACAACAGCACATGAAACGATTACAATGCAGTAGTGCTTAAGAGTGAATGAGAAATTGTTCATTTTATCCTTATATTCATAATTTATGCGGGACTAAGAAGCGAAGTTGCTCACTATTTTCATAACCTTGTTTCTGCGTTAAGCAGCAAGTTGAGCTAAAAGAATGACATTGAAATAAAGTGAGCCAATTTCACTTTTGAGGATGAATATTCATTTGTAAAACATCTATATGTCCATGAAAACTTCATTCTCCATCATTTTTACTGCAAGGTCAATTGTACTGATTTGGATAGTAATTAAACTGAATTCAGAAACATTGCAGGACAGTTTGAATTTGAAACACTGAATAGTCCTTTGGCCGCAGACTCCTAAATTCTCACAACTTCTTCATATTCCTTTCCCTCTTGTACCGGTAAGCATACGGTACTGAGGTGTAGGATACTTGTTTCGATATATAAGAAATACAAACTGTTGTTTTTTACCAAGTACGGTAATTGATATTCTGTTTGATGTTTACTGCTTCTTTCATGCTATTTTATTATGCTTATTTCGCCGTATTACGAGTGAATTATATTGGAGGTGTGATATGTCGAAGTTATCCTGTCACATTTTCACTGCACATTTCTTTTAACTTATGGAACTGTGATAAGTATATTGGGAACTGGAGTCTTACAAATTTCTTAATCCGATAAGCACTTGCAGATGGAAGTGCTGTTTTAGTGCTCAGTTTTTTCGTTTAGTAAATTAAAAAAACAGTAAGCCATCTTTTAATTTCACGAACGGTTACTCCAGGAAGTCATCAAGTAAAGTGAAAAGGCCACAAGAAAATACGATATTGCGCGTGGAAGTGCTGTCCGTATTATATGTATGTAATGTGGACAGAACCATCATCACTCATCATTACGATTATTCACTTATTCATGATATCCTGTAATTTGAAGTTCTCAATTGCACGCCGTTTGCCTAATCTTTATTGGAATTCGTCAAATCCATTGTTAGTTTTATTATTTTTTTTTTGAAATTAAAATTTTTTCTTCATGTGCACAAACAGAATTTGAAACTGAAATTTTTGAGTTTGATCGATTTTTTTCTCCACTTATTCACTGATTTTTAACATAAACTGCATCTTTCCTAGCTCAATTTTATTTGGTACTAATTTTAATCTTCCATCATCATTCATACTTTAACATAATTTTAGAAGAATCCATCTCGAAAATCAAATTCGTTGTTTTATATCCGATGTGATGGTAAACTATTACTTCCACTTTAATTCCATATATGATTTACCACTTAGTTTTATTCAATTTAAATGGCTGATTAGTTTAATCAGTAAACTTCTGACGCTTCTTTAAAATCCCAAGTCATTTCCCACATCGATTCAGCGCAAGGCATACACAAAAGGCGAAATACTGTGACCATTGTGAAGATCGATAAGTTCTCACAGCTAGCAAACTAACACTGGATAATTAAGGGCAAAGAATACAGACTTCACATGAAAATTCATTTAAGAGAAAATTTAATCATAAAGGAATTTTTCTAATGGCACTTCCTTAGAGTAAAGGAATTATGTTTTAAGTCGTTTAAACAGTGCAGAAAATTTTTTTTCAGAAATTAACAATTTTAAAAGCACTGAATGAAATATTTGTACTCTTATTATTTTCATGCTGTTGATGCTATACATATCCAACAATTTCTAATTATTTTTTAAGTAGTGTAGAAATCATTTTATCCCAATGATGTATTTTATTATGCAAATATCTTGTCAGTTTTATTAAAGGGAATTGCTTAAAGTTATAAACATCTTAAGTATATGTGTAAATTGTAAATTAAAATTAGCGGTGACTGATAGTTTTTAATACAGCGTGAAAGGGTTTCATTTAAATTAAATTGTGGTGAAGTGGAGTCGTAAATCTAGAATACCAAGTAGGAGTACTATAATAGAGGTATTATTGGATCATTGTTTATGTGTATATATATATATGTGTCTGTTCTTATCTATTTCAGTTTGAAGCATGAAATGCTGGTTTGGTCTGGCTTCATTAACGGTGCTGTAAAGCTCGTTATCATTTTCCTTTCTTGGAGAAGGAGAGAAGAGATTGAGGGGGCATTGTACAATCATTTTGAAACAAATATTATAGGTCATTTTATTTCCTCAATTAAGTTGATTTTTCGTAGAAAAGTGTTAAAATATAAATTGCATTTGGTTAGAATGCACGCTTCATTTTTTGTCCAAACTTTCTGCTATATATTCTTAAAACTTTAAAAATAATTTTCGAAGTGATCAATAATTCCACTTTAAGAATCTTATTAATCTTATATGGAATTGTCTTTGTTGTCGAAAGAAGAAAAAAAAGAAAAGAAAAATTAATAGCTACTAACTCAAAATAGTTACAAATAAAAATAAAATGAGTAGTTATGTTATATTTCATTTACTACAAAGTTTCTTCTTTGATCAGTTTGGACTTGACATTTTATTATCTAAATGTTTTTATAATCAATCCTAGAATAGACATACGAGTTTGGTTTTTTTTTTTTGATAAATATATTTGCTGAAAGTTGAAGAGACAAACAAGTGGGGTAGAATCTTGTAAATAATTAACAATTATAAATGGTTTTATGTTGCACAAATTCCTTTTAAAATATGGAACCAAATCTCGAATTGTGAAGGTAATTAATTATGGCTGAACATTCTTCGTAATTCATTCTTGATTGTCATTGCTATCTTGTTTTTGATCTTTCCGTCAAAAATTGGTGAATTATATTTCATTTTTAATTTTTGTTCATCGTGGGATCTCTATTAAAAGTAAAAAGTTTTGGGACTAGGATCATTACATTCATAGAGGATATTACTGAGAATAATTAGTTCTTCTGAATTTTTTGCTAGAGTTAAAAATGTTAGATCATGCTGGATTAGATCCAAATCTCAAACTGAATGCATTGCTGGGAAGAGAAAATGTTCCTATTTGAGTGTGAATGGAATCGATGAGGTCGAGGTGAATTAAGCAGTCAAGTTATCAGGCAGGACATAAATCATATTCCGACTTCGTATGACAAAGGTAGGTGTTTACTCTTTGACCTCAGCAAATATTTATGCCAAGGTTAAAAATCGGCTTCGTTTTAATAGGATTCCTACTTGGTGGAATTTTCGTCTGTTTCTTTCTTCCCCTACCTCTTCTGAAAAATTGTTTGCAGCAAGCAGTTTTATAAAAATAGCGTTAAAGCTAGTTTTACTCCAGTTTGCTTGGGATCTTTCTAATTTCAACGAGTGGAACAAGTAATAAGAGTGTATTCTGGAGAAAACTTTGAAGGATAAATAGACGGAAAGTAAAAAGTCTCAAATTTTCAACTTCTCATCGATTTTATTCTATAGCAATCAAACCTCAGTACAGGCAGTATCATTTTCATTGTTAGAAAAACCAATCGTTTGCATCATTCATATCGAATTACGGAAAATGTCAACGAGTATCTCATCCTTTTGCTCCACGAATGTTCGTGAATCAAAAAATATCGAATCTAGCAATAGTCCCTCGCACTGTTGCTGCTACATATGGCATCTGCGGGAGGAGAATCGGGAAGGTTAGCTTCCGTTACTATATTGCTTATTTAATTATTTAACTTCATCTAACTTTCTATCGCATTAACTTGGACCTTCTTTGTTAATACCGCATCTTCACCTTCTAGCATTCCATCTTTATTCCCGGAACTCTTTGTTTTTCATCTCGGAGGGGTCATCAGCCAGATGTTCGTTTGTCTGTTTCCACTTATCTTTTGTTGAGGTAGCTCGTCTTCTGTTTGGTCATAATGTTTCCATATGCATATATGCTATATATTTGTAGTTTTATTTATATTCATGTATTTATATTTTGTATTTCTATTGATTTATATTTACATCTGTATTTATATTTATTTATATATATTTATGTTTATTTTGCACTTATATTTATATTACTCATTTATTTGTTTACTTATTTGTTTATTTACTTATTTATTTGTTCGCTTCCTTTATATTAATTGACTAATTAATTAATTTATTTATTTGTTTATCTAATTAGCTAGTTTATTTATTTACTTATTTGTCTAATTTATTTGCCTATTTATTCATGTGTGAAGAGGACAAATAACAGTAACAGAATATTTCAACCATAATTCGATAAATGTTTGAGGAAGTTGTAATTTGAGAAAGGAATTAGATCTGTTTTTTTTAATTGGGAAATTTGTAATGTATTTAATGTTTAATTTCTGAATTTCTGCCAAATCTAGAAAAAAGAACAGGAACGATGTTTAGGTTTGAAGGATAAAATTACTTGATGTAGAAGACTAATTATAGTTTTTTTTCTTGCCTATGCTACAGTAAAAAAAGAAATCTTCTTGATAAAAACGCAACTGAAAGGTTCCATATTTTTGCATAAAATCCTTGGATAATGTGCTTTCATTTTCCTTATTCCTATTGTTATATGTCGTTTGTATAGCATTAGAATGCGCAATATTTAATCATATTCTAGTCTAACCATTTCTTCTTTTTTATTCATTAGCGCTTTCTTGACGTTTAGTCAGCAAAGCGCTAATC